CAATATCGGGATGGACACTACTGCCAAGGGGTTTCCTTAGCAATAAATGTCCTAAAGGCAACCATGAGGGTGATGTACGCCCAGCGTACTCACCATTCTGCCTGTACGCTTAGCGTACATGGGAGGGGTACGCCCCGCGTACTCTGTCTGTATGGATCATGAATTTTGGGGTCGTGGTTTGGGGCATGTTTGGGTATTTGGGCCTTAGTGGGCCATCAGAAATCATATTATATGGATCAAGGAATATATTTTGGGCTTAGGGTGAGGCCCATTAAGGGATTGGGCCCAATGTAGCAAATTGGGCCATTAGTGGGCTTGAGAAGCTTACCTAGTGTTGGGCCCTTCATATTATGGTGTTGGGCCTTAGTCATGGGTCAGATTGGGTTAAGGGTAAAATGGTCAATTTACCCTTAGAGGGATATTGTTTTGGGGCTAAGTGTTATTGTGGCATTGATAGTTCGGGGAGCTAGAGGGGCAGCAGTGCGGGGATTTTCAGATAGCAGCCAGAAGGGTACCAACAGTGTTTCAGCAGTTCAAGGTGAGTTATCCTCACTATACTGACAGGGTCTACGGCACCAAGGCCGGCCCTCTATCAGATGGAAATTCGGGTATTATTGTTATGTTATTGTTTTGCTATGTTTGCATCCTGGTAGTTAGGATGGTATACGTTAGGGACCTGGTTAAGGTCGGTATCATGATGGTTAGGATGGTATATGTACGACCGGAAGGTCTTATGTGCTATGAAGAGTATGAGATATATGTTGTTAGATGTTATGAGAGTTGTATGTGTTATGTTACGATATGAGCAGTATGTTATGGACCTGAAGGTCATCGTGTTATATGCGGTTATATGATATGTATGTGCTATGTATGCTATGTATGGAAGGACCGGAAGGTCAACAGAGTATGGACCGGAAGGTCAACAGAGTTATGGGATGGAAATCCCCTGAGACATATGGATCAAAGATCCTATGGAGTTATGGCCTGGAAGGGCGTATGTGCTGATATGGCCTGGAAGGGCGTACGTGCTGTTATGGCCTGGAAGGGCGTTTGTGCTGTATGTAGTATTTTGGGGGTAACTCACTAAGCTTTCGGGCTTACAGTTTCAGTGTATTGTTTCAGGTACTTCAGGAGATTGTGGCAAGGCGAAGGCGTGATCGTACCACTCCTCAGTTTTATGTTGATGTTTCTGGGATACTCTGAAAATTAAATGAATTGAAAACCTTTTTGTAATAACTTAATGAATATGGTTGTTTTTTTTGAAAAGTTTAATTTGGTTGGAATTTTTGAGCGTTACATATGGAGCACACACAATCCTAAATTCTTTGGATCTATGTTTTCTCTAATTATACATGCAATTTGATTTTCCAAAGCATTGTCCTAACTAACATACAAATCATAGGTACTTGAATAAAAAAACTAGTTAGATGACTTACCTTTTCTTGTAGCTTGTTAAGTTGGACCTTTAAGAGCTTAGCACCCCAAATGTGATGCCTCAAATGCTTCTAAAAACACCACCAATAATGGAGGACTTGAGAGAGATTGTCTAGCACAAAAATCGGCTCTTATGAACTCCTTGAACCACTATTGCTGATTTTAGGAGCTTAGGGGCTTCTTATATAGTGTGGCAAAGTCTAGGGTTACATCCATGTAAACCTTAATGGACATGACCTTTCATATTACTTAGGATCCATGGGTTAAACCTCCATGGACTACCATATTGGTTTAGCCCATCCTAAATAACCTCTTCTCCAAAAGTCCATCCTTACAAATTGTTCTGGTGAAATGCAACCCAAATGGACCATGCTACTCTCGGGTCAAGTACATACTAATTATAGTTATGGACTTAGACACCTTATCCAACAATATGCTTGATGATATGTTATATGTGTGACATCCCCATTTTCACGGCCAGAAAAGACCGATTTTGTTTATGCTTTGTTTAAAAATCAGAGTAACATTTTAAATAAAAGTGTTGCGGAATTTGTTCCCAAAATAAAATATGATAAAGATTTATCAAAGCATTTCCGTAGAAATGTATTTCATTAAAAACCTCGGGATGTCATGTTCAATACAGATCAAAAGCATAAACAGTACAAATAAGCCTTACTACATTTATTCATATCTACAGGCCTATATCCGTAATCTCTCATCCCAAACATCATATCTATGCTCGTGCGCCACTACCTGTAATACAAGAAACTGAGTGGGTCAGGCTTGGGAGCCTGGTGAGCACATAGGGTTTTCAACCCACAATAAATAAGTTTATTAATTTCATCAATCAACAATAACCCGATTACCCGTTCCCGTTATCCTCACATTACGTCCCTAAAACACCTATCATAAGGGACCTAGACTAAGGATCAATATCGGGATGGACACTACTGCCAAGGGGTTTCCTTAGCAATAAATGTCCTAAAGGCAACCATGAGGGGGATGGAGTACATCGGTGAACACATCGTTCACAAACACCTACAGGTTGCGAGCCTGCTAGCGTTCCACTGGACTGTCTAGAAGAGTCCGTGGTCGTCATCCATACTCCGCTAGATGACAGAATCAATAACAACAACATCGAGGCCTCTCATCATTTTACCACACATCGTCTATTACATCTACCCATGTTTTACCCCAACATTTTTTGTAGATATAAAATACTATACAGTTTAAATTATTTAAAACATGTATAAAAATTCTTTCATCAGCATAGGCAGCAAGTATTCAGATAATATGCACACATAGCACGTAATTAATATAAAATACTTCATATCTATGTGTAAGATGAAAGTAACTATGCACTCACCTGATTAGGTGGTGACTCGGTATTTGAACAGCACTTCGTTATCTCAAAACAATTTTTCCTTGACCAAAACCTAGTATTAATACCACTAGAGTTTAGTTTTAACGTTAACCGTGACTAATTAATAGTCTAGCTATTATTATTATTATATAAGCGTTAAATAACACTCAATATATAAATAATAATAGCCCAAATAATTATTTTAAGGACCTAATAACATTACTATAATTATTTAAAAGTTATATTAAAAATTTCGTAGGCGTACCTTACTTACAACGGGTTTTTCTCAAAACCGGGCTTCGCTGGAGCAGCGTTTCCGAGCCGAAAGGTTCTTTTCTCGGGACTCCGGGAGCCTCGGAACTTCCTTCGGGTGCTAGGGGGTTTAGCTAGACTTTTAGGGCTCAAGGGAGCTTAGAGAGAGAGTTAGAGAGGGAAAGTGGAAGAGGAAAGGTGTAAGAAATGAGAGAACCCGACACTTCTATTTATAGTGAGTTGGGGCATGTGGTGGCCTTCTGGTGGTGCCACTTGTCCAAATTCTGGTGTTGTCACATGTCCAATTTCTGGTGGTGCCATGTGTCCAATTTCTGGTGGTGCCACGTCACCCAATATCGCGTATCGGCCTCCCGTCTTAGAAAAATCATAAACTCTCGCATACGAGCTCCGTTTTTGACGTTATTTATATCCACGCGAAGGGGGAACGTAATCTACAACTTTCGTTTAGACTCCGTTGGCTAATTTGAATTTATTTTAAAAGTTATATTTTAACAGGCCGGGACAGGATTGGTCCGTTAAAAATTCATAACTTCTTCATCCGACGTCCGTTTTCGTCTGTCTTTTTATTGTTACGCCACAATTAAAGAGCTCTTCGATTCTCGTTTAGGTCGTGTCGGCTAAAAACTCGCTTTATCATAAATTCACTATTCACGCTTCCCGGTATCGTGCCGGTTCCGTCGTGAAACTTCGTCGGGTCATAACTTCTTCGTTATAACTCGGATTTCGGCGTTCTTTATATATCCGGAATCCTTGTTTTGACCACTACAACTTTATGTAAAGATATCGGGCTTATCTCATATTTTAATTTTGACGCTTATTTTTATTCTTTATTAATTATACATTTATAATTAAATAATAAGCACATAAATTCACAAAATACTCAAATATTTCATTTTTATTACATCAAAAGAGTTACAATAGTTGACCTAGACTATTACATCGTCTAAAAATGCTTAGCCCTGAAACCCGGGCGTTACAATATGTATACCGGACTTCGGTCCGATGCTGGATTCGTCCGATGCCGGGCGGGGCCCGATGTAGTGGGCAAGGCCCAATGTATATTATTATCTGATTATGTGTATGATATGCGGTAGTTTGGGGAGACTCACTATGCTTCGTGCTAACAATTTTTAGTTTTGGTTTCAGGTACTTCCGCTAGTAAGGGAAAGAGCTCGGGATGACTGCATGGCACACACCACAACTTTTAGCCTGGGAGGATTCACTCTGATATTTTGACATATGATTTTGATACATTGATATATGATATGAGATTTTGGAGATACATGATTTATGACATTTTGATACTTGTGGTTTTATTTTTATGATGGTTGATGAAATATGGTTTTTCTTAGATGATTTAAAACAAAATTTTTGGACCGTATTTTTAGGATGTTTCATGCTAAGGTGAACCGGTCATAATATGCTTGGATGGACTCTCCCTCATTTTGCTTGCATGCCACCATGATTGAGTTGGCACCTCCTTTGACTTTTCTCGACTGCATGAAATTGTGGAGGAATAGATGTCTCAATTGTTCAAAGCTGGAGATGCTTCCCGGTCGTAACGCCTTGAACCACTTGCTGGTGTTTCCTAACAGTGTAACCGGGAAGTAGGTGCATGTGAACCTCTTGTCCATCCGAAGCGATGTCATCGTCCATTCATAAGTGTCTATGTGTTCGTTGGGATCTGTCGTGCCGTCATATTTTGGGATACTTGGGATCATGGTGGAATGTGGTATTTCGTACTGTAGGAGCTCCTGGCAAAATGTCGAGCTAATGCTTGATACTGAGTCGTGCATGTGTTGATATGCAGGTGCACCACTGGTCATTGTGTGTTGTATGTGGTAGGGGATGGTGTACCCTTGACCATATTCGTAATGGTACCCGTGGTTGTACCCCGACGTTTGTGGTACATACATTGCCTGTGTGGGGTATGCATGCACCAGTTGATTTGACTGTGAGCTCGACTCTATTGGTCCCACGATGTGTAAGTGCGTCCCCTTCATCAGTGTGCCTTGAGTGTTGTTGTTTTGTGGCTGTGTTGGGGGGTACATGCCTTGGTAGTAGTAGGAGTATGGGTTGAACGCTGGCTGTAGTACGAATAGCGGGACGTGCGACATGGCGACCATCTGGGAAGACATGTGACCTGCAGGCATTGGTTGTATAGCAGATGGAATGGTACTCGGGCACCAGGTGCTAGTCCCTGCCTGCCGTGTGGATGGCTGTTGGTGAGTTGTTGGCTTTGATTGTGTGTTCAGTGCCCTTTGGGGCGCGTGGTGGTTGTCGTGGCCGGATGTGTCGTTACGGCGGGTCTCGGTCGCCATAAACTAGCGATGAACTCCGCTTCGGAGCTTACTGGCGACGTTGTTGGTGTTTGTGCTAGCGGCTGTCCTTGCTGTGTCGACGGTCCGCTTTCGTCGAGGGACTGCATTGGTCGAACCAGACTAGTGGTGTCACCTTCTTGCCACTGCAGTCCTTTGTCCGTCATTTCTGGCGCCTGATGTTGCTGAATGTGTTTTGCAGGACCGAGTGCAAGCCTGGACGGCGCCAACTACTGTGATATGTCACCGGCTTAACTTCGTCTTTCTGAGGGGTGGAAACGAAGAGCCTGAGAATCACAACAAGGAAAATAGGACCGCTAGTGGTCGTCCGGGAGGTTGTCCCGGAACGAGGCTCCGACGATCAAGTCAGTGTGGGTCTGAGAGAGAGTGGGTTTAAAGTATTAAGAGAGTGTTGAAGGGTTTTAGATCTTGGCCCCTTCTCTTGGGGGAGAAGGATGCCTTTTATACTTGTGGTTAGGGGAACATATCGCTGACAATATCTTCTACCTTTGCAGGTTTGGCAGGGGCTGATGGCTTTTGGTTGGAGGATTGTGTTCCATGGGTGGTTGTTCACTATTGGTGCAGATTCTGCCAGAAGCGGTGTCCATAGCACTATACCTGTCGCTCTGGGAAACTCTTTGTACTGTTTTGTCTTCAACGTTAGCCTTGGCGCTTGGGCACCAAGGAACGGATACGGGGTCTTGGAGGAGAGGGTGAAGGCCCGACGTTAGTCACACGTTGCTCTTTGGCCGATCTGTCTGTCGAACTAGTGATTCCGTTATCTTTGACGGATTCCCGGTGGGATACGTCAATAGTGGCCAGTACGCGCAACGTACAAGCTATGTACGCCCAACGTACGATGCAACTGACCACCTTCAACATTAAGTTCTTAAACAATTAAGCCATTACGTTCAAGTCTCAGATCTGGTCCCTAATGATGTCTTAACACATAAAGTTGGCAACTTTACTCCCATGCATTATTTAATGGGACCCAAAACTCAAAAAGAACCATAATAAGGATCCTAACACATGCATGGACCAAAATAACTCATAAAGATTGCATTGTTATGGACAAGGGACCTCAAATGTGCTAAGATCTACCATCCATGGCTTATGGAGTAGACCATACTCTCAAATATGGCTTAAGGACCTAATAATGCACAAATAAAGCCTTAAACTGGATCTAGCATAAGGAACCATCAATTTGAGAGCTTTATACCTCAAATAACTTGCAAAGTTGATGATGAATCTGGATCTACAAGCTCAAGCCACACCAAAAGCAACCTCCAAGTGTTCTTCTTCCTTCAAATCACCAAAATCACCACCAAAACTCACTTCCAAGCTTAAATCTCACAAATGGAAATTAAGGTTTTGTTCTTAGGGTTTGGAGGAGTGGAGGCTGACCCTAAGATGCACCCAAGGCAACATAAGTTGCTTAAATAGGGCACAAACCATAAATATTAGGGTTTACACTTGCTTAGCATATGACCAACATACTTCCACGTACGCCCAGTGTACGTGGGCGCCTCCGCATCCAACCTTTGTGCCAGTATGCTCTGCGTACTCATAGAGTACGCCCGACATACTCAGCTAGGGACCAAAATGAAAGAATTTTACAAATAAGGTATAAAAAGGAACATACCCCTAAATCGCGAGCGTTACATTTCTCCCCCACTTGAATCAGACTTCGTCCTCGAAGTCCGCTGTCGCAAATAACTCTGGGTAGTGCTCCTTCATCTCGTCCTCCGGCTCCCACGTCCATTCTGAACCCTTGCGGTGCTGCCACTACACTTTCACCAACTTAACAACCTTGTTCCTCAAGGTTTTCTTCTTCCAATCAAGAATCGCCACCGTTATCTCGATATAATTTAGAAGATCATGCACCTGAATATCCTCTAATGGAGCCACTACGGAATCATCAACAAAAAATTTCTGCAGCTGAGAGACATGAAACGTGCTATGGATCTGACTAAGCTCCTCGGAAATATCCAAGCGATAAGCAGCCTGGCCCACCCGGGCCAAAACCCTGAAAGGACTGATGTACCTGGGGCCCAACTTGCCCCTCTTCCTGAATCAGATGACACCTTTCCGATGCGACACCTTCAGGAGAACCATATCCCCAACCTGGAACTCTAGGTCTGATCGGCACTTGTCAACATAGCTCTTCTGCCGACTCTATTCTGTTTGAAGTCTACTCTGAACCTGCTGAATCAACTCAGTGGTCTTGAGTACCACTTCGGTACTCCCTATGACTCGCTGAATGACCTCACCCTATCATATCGGGGTCCTGCATTTCCTCCCATAAAGCATCTCAAAAGGAGGTCAATCAATGTTGGCGTGATAACTGTTGTTATACGAAAACTCTACCAAAGGGAGATGCGTATCCCAACTCTCACCGAAATCCAATACACACGCCCGAAGCATATCCTCCAAGGTCTATATAGTCCACTCACTCTGTCCGTCAATCTGTGGGTGGAAAGTCGTGCTGAAATGCAGAAGAGTACCCAACTCCTCGTGAAACCTCATCTAAAACCTGGAAGTAAACCGGACATCTCTGTCTGAAACCACTGAAACCGACACCCCATGCTGTGCCACAACCTCCCTGATGTATATGTCGGCCAAATTCTCTGCAAAGATACTCTCCCGAATCGAAATAAAATGCACCCTCTTGATCAATCGATCCACGATAACCCAAATTGAGTCCACTCCGAGCACTGTCTGGGGAAACTTCATGATAAAATCCATAGTAATCTCTTCCCATTTCCAAACGAGAATGTCTAACGACTGCATCTTGCCGTGAGGTCACTGATGTTTGGCCTTGACCTTCCTGCAAATCAAGCACCTCTCCACAATCAAGCACCTCTCCACATACCAAGCTACATCCCACTTCATACATGACCACCAATAATCAAGCACCTCTCCACATACCAAACTACATCCTACTTCCAACAATCGTCGACTTCGTGGCCCTGTGAGCGAAAAATGTTTGATTTCTGGTGAAAAGGTAAGCAATGGGATCAAGCTATGGATGATGTGGACCGATTGATAAGCCCTAGAGAGGGGGTGGGTTGGAGGTGATGGACGTGGGTGAGAGGCTGAGAGGAAGAGAGAGAAGCGAACAAATGGAAACGAATGTAGAGAGAAGGCGGGGTTTCAAAATATTTGGGATTTCCTTTTTTCCCTAGTTGATAAGTATGAAGACGCGCATTTCTTAAAAAAAATTGTAGAACGACACCAAAATTTAGGGCACGTAAAAATGCGTTTCCTAAATCCTTCAAAATTTATATGAGATGACATTTTTTTTACGATACCGACTTTTGTGTATCATAACTTCGTGCGTGTCATTAAAGGTATGTTATTATATATATATATATAGATATATAATATAATATATATATATATATATATATATAGTATATTATAATATATATATATATATATATATATATATCTATATATATATATATCTATATATATATAAAAGAGCCTGTGAGAAACAAAACTTTCTTGAAAAACATGAGAAATAAACCATTTGCATCTTTTATGGGGAAACAAATAATTGATTCATTAGATAATAAAAAAAACACGAGTTATAAAAAATTTGGTCGAAAAAACGTTTCTATGATTCATTTTTTTAGTGACTCAAGCGATGATTATCTTTTCGGATAATTTTAATGAATAATCTTAAATAAAATGAATCTTTGAACCGTTTTATTGAGAGATTTTTTATGAATCATCTTATTTTTGTATCATTTAAAGATTCATATTTTTAATTTATAAAAAAACATGCGTTTGATTAATTTCTCATAATCCAAGGATTAAGGCATGAAAAAAAACGACCGATGAAGGTTGCAGTCGATCTAGCAAAGAACAATAATACCCCCTTTGTGTTGATGTTCTCTAGTGGTGTTTCCCCAAAAATAATGAAGGATGTAATAGATTAAGATACATAAATAAATAAAGAAACAACTTTTCAGCATACTAAAGGGTACAAACCATTTATGTTACATAAATAAATAATTATTGTCTTATAAAAAAAACGTATTTGTCATTAGAAAATGATTAATACAAATTTTCTTTTAAAATGAGTTTGTAAATGAATCAATAGAAGTTTCTCATGAACTTATTCCCAAAAATTGATAGAGTGACGTATTTCCTTGACTCCTTAACATGATTTATCAAATAAAACAATAATGAAAGATAACTCCATCTCTTCTTAATCGACATAAATTTTTATTTTTCTTTGGAATTTCAAAACACAATTCAATCTTAAAGTTTTTTAAAAAAAAAACTATTATACATATAAAACCATTTCATTTTTCTTTTGGACGACAAAAAAATATGCAAAGAAACTAATTTTTGTGTTTCGATCGTTGATTCCCTTAGTCTTTTTATATGAGCAAACAACTACAAATTAGGGATTAGCAGAAGAATGATCTCGAAATTTTCATTTTTTGTTGCTGCTCAGAGTGACAAAAGTGGACTATGATGACTCCATGCTCGAGTACAATATTGTATGACAAACCAGCTCAACTCAATGATTCATTCCAACATTCTTAGCGGTTATATATGTGTTATCACCTGTGTTTACAAGCACATAAGATCTCATTTTATATATATATATATATATATATATATATATATATATATATATATCATAATTTTAAAAGATTAATATTTTTATTGAAATTTCTAATTTAATAATGTTCAATTTAGATGTTAAAAATGGATGGGGGAGGTTTTGGGGATCGAGAGGTTGAATCCGAAATTGGAGATCGGCAGATTGGTTAATCAAGTGTTCCGGTCCGTATTCATCTCTCTTCCTTACGTGTTTCCGAGATCTGTCCAATCCTCATCGGTTTCTCGTACAAATTATTGTATCCTACAACCACAAGTAGCCAATCCGAACCCCTAATTAAGCCCTAATTACTCTTGACGATGAATGTCCACACAGAACTTTATAACACCGATGGTGTAAGCACGGAAGACTTTTTATCTGTCGTTTTCTTCCTTTGTTATCTGTGTTTTCTAGGGATTTGGGTTCTCGTATGCTTAAGAAACCGGCCATATGTTAACAAGATTCACATACTGATGGGTGCGTTGCTTGTTATCGTGATGGTTGACTTGATCTGTGGGCCACCCGATAAACAATATGTGAAGATTACACATAATGCTCATGG